ATCAAATGGTTCTATATAGACCTCATGGTTCTAGGTATTAACTAGGTAACTGTAAGGTACAATCTCCAGAGCACTATATGATTATTTTGAGTAACATGAGGTTTAACTCAAGTTAAACTAAAAAACGTTTAAGTTTAACTAAATTACACTGAAATGACTAAGAGGTTCTAGTTAATAAACTGATAACAGACATAATAACATACCTTTATTATTTGGAGCAACAAGGACAAGTGCACATATAAACATACTCCAATTTCAATATAATGTCATACGTTTAAGCAGGAAAGTGATCGGAATCTGAACCTCCAAGTATCAAGTATATTATTTGGTGTAAAATGACAAGCAAAATACAAAGAGTTTTCTGAAGTAAATGGTAAAAGGTATTTTTCCAGGCCAGATTCAGTATAGGTAATAAATAGGTACATACTATGGAAGAACGTTGGTACTTTGTAATTTTTTATTTCATGTAACTAGCTGGTACCTTTTTACCAAAGAACTGCACAGTAATGTGGAGTTTGTACCTCACACTTACCCTGTTAATACCTACACATTTCAGTGTAGTTTAGTTAAACTGCCTCAGAACTTACCATCATATTACCCAAAATAACTACCTAGTACTTTGAGTTTGTAGCTTATACTTACCAGGTTAATATCTGAACCTAAGGGACTGTAAAAGACAGCATTACACATTTTCTGGCTTATTTTCTTAAGATATTTAGGATGATGTGAAAAACTAGACATTACTGCACATTTCAAGAAATCTTACTAAGTAAATTTGCCATTAGCATATTTTTTTATTATCAAATTCCTGAATGGCTTTTTTTGCAGTACATATCATATCAGCCTTGTAGCTCCAATGCAAATAATAAAGCAGAAAACATCTCTTGGTTGATCGACTATGTGTAGAGAAAAAGGAAAAACTGTTCTTAAGAAGAAATTTCTTACGCAGGTTTCATGAAGACCCTGACATTCACCAATGTTTTCTTATTTGGGATTTGTTCTCAGGTAAGAACAGAATCTACACACACTCAGGGCACAAAGTATATATACACAATATATATATATATATATATATATATATATATATATATATATGCCCATTGTTCCTAGATCTGTATGTACAAGCTGAGAACCATTTGGGAACCTGCATTTTTAAGAGTGTATCTTCTCTTCCACATTATTTCCTCACAGTGTTTTGATTGTAGTCTCACAACAATCTCGGTAACAAAAGAACAATCTACAAAACGGAAGTGAAAAAGCAGCACATGAAGAAGACCCTATTTAGCACTACGATAATGATTAGCATGAGCACGATGCTTAGCAGCAGCATTGTCCATTAGCTTTAGCCACTGCCTCTCTTTTTGCCTCCACAGTGCCTCTGTCAGAGAGGGAATAAAATGCAAGTGTGCAGCATGGAATAGAGAAATACGAAATGAAAGAGGCTTCGCAGCAGCAGGGGGATCAGCGTACAACTGAGCCTCAAACTCGTGGTCAGTATTCAGGCGCGAGGTTGGAAAGGGCAGCGCAGCGGTTACTCTGATTGAACCAATTGCTCTGTGTAACTATCTCTCAGCCCTAGCATTCCCCTAGGCAATGAACACGCCGGCAGTGGCCCGCCGTGCCCTCCACCCATCTCTGCCTGGCCGTAGACTCTGAGGACTTCAGAGATGATGCAGTACATCAGCTGATAGCAGCCAAAGCTGTTGCAGTAAGACTGTGTTTATTGATTCATTGAGCGTATTGATTGTCTAAGTTGTTGAAGAGCGCAAAAAAAGAAAAAGGAAAGAAAAAAGAAAGAAAAATCCCAACTGAAAAAAATGCCCCCAAAAAATAAATAAAAAAAAAAATGGTGAAAGGAAAAGTTAATCGTGGTTGATGAGAAGGTTAGAACAATGTCAGGAGTTTATGAAAAGCAGGAGACGGTAATGACACCCTGTTATCATAATCACGACCGTGTTGGCAAACGAGAATCACTCGTGGCCCTGATTAAAACACAAAATCCCTCCACAAACCAAGAAAGAGCAGCTGAAATGAATCTTGTCTGCCATTTTGTTGGTTTAAAGAAACTTGCTGTAGCAATCATCCTTAATGCTCTTGATGGGTTGAATGTCTGCAATAAATAATTGATGAAAATAAATTATGAACAGTAAGCCAATAAGAACTGTTAATGCTTATCTCATTTTCTTAACCCTGAGGGCTCGATTTAAATGTCATAACACAAATGTAATTATCATATTTCTTCAGTTATCTAGGGCCACGTTCAGCAACAAAAACACCCAACAATGTTGCAGAAACACTATTACTGAAACATATGTTGTTTCATACTCTCCAATGATAGATCAATAAATCTGTTCTATACAGTGTAAATCTGTCTGCACCTGAGCAAATACATAGCATTGTGCTTTACCTGTTTGTTTGCTGCTTGATAAAATAATTTACTAGATTATTATAGGAAATATGTCAACTTGCATTGATCCACTTGCCCACTCTGTTAAAAACCTATGACCAAAGTAAATGTACCTGCATATATATATATATATATATATATATATATATATATATATATATATATATATATATATATATATATAAGGAAAACATAAACTGGAAAGTGTTGGCAATATACAGTACTGTACAAAAGTCAGAGATTACTTTTCATGTATTTAATTTCCACTCTAAATGGCCATTAAACATGTTATTATAGTTGAGATCATTCACTTGCATTATGAAGCGAAAAGTCAAAGGAAAATAGGTTTTAAGAACGGGAGTCTCCAAAACAGGAGTTCATTTTTTTTTTTCAAAAATAAAGAGAAAATGAGACTCCTATCAACCGTGCAACACCTGGTACACCACCAGCATCAGATAAACAGTGCTTAAAGCTTTTGTAAATCCACAGGTGTTTCTGTCCATCCTTCCACTTTGAGAATACAACTCAACACAATGAGTCTGATACAAAGGATGTATAGCTGTCAAGAAGCCCTTACTGAGAAAAGGAAATAGACAAAAAAAGGTAATATTTCCAAATCGAACAAAAAAGTTGCTTTTGTTCTCAGAACAATGGACTGATCACCTCTCAACATCCCTGAACATGTTTGGATTGTGAGAAGTAGAAACAGCAACCAATTTCTGAACTTTGGAGGTGTGAAAAGATATCGCTGCAGATTTCTTTGAAACTGAAAGCAAGTTTCCTGAAAAGAATGGAAGCAAAGTGTGCACACAGTAAATAATGAAAACATAGATTAGATGTCAAAACATCTGTAGAATTTTTTGTTAAGTATAAGGTTTCTGCTTTTTTCTGAGACTGAAAAATGAATATTTTGTACTTCAATAGTAAATATTTTAACTGAAAATCAAATAAATGAAGGCTGGTGTCTGACTTTCACACAGTACTGGAAAATAAGTAAATAAGTTAAATATACTGTAATACATTTTTAATATAGTACATTTTTGTGAGTTCTTAACTCTAAACACCGATCAGCAGTGTTAGACCATTCACAACATATCAATGCAAGTTTAATCAAAGAAACCTATCAACATGGCTTCAGTAGGTGCCTCAATGGGAAATTTAAGTTATCTGGACTTTGTACTTGTATGTACATAATAAAACAGCTCTTTGACATTTCATCCAAAGCCTTAAAAAAGCACTGAGATACTACAATGCATATTTTATGCGAACAGCATGAGTATCAGAAGGAATGTCAGCACCTGAGCAAGTACATTTGCATCCAGTGTTACACTCATTTAAATCAAGCCCTATGATTCCAGATCCAAAGCCATATATATATGTATGTATGTATTTCTGCATGAGAGCCCCTGTTTTGAACATCGTGGAAAATTCATTGGGCAAGTGATAAACAAGTGGAAATCTTCTTTTTGACATTGACAATGTTCCAGAGGCCCTTCCTTTAATAACCAATTTATCTTCGGTGTCAGAAGACTGTAGCATAGCAGATGTTCGGTAACACCCTACCGCTCGGTCCGTCTGTATTGTTGCTACGCTCATTACCATGTTGTTCTATCAGTATAGCATCCGCCAAATTCTGAGGAGCGGGGCGGTTTAAAGCTGGTTAGGAAGCATATGCGCGGCACTTTGGAGTTTTCCTAATGAATCCCATGCATGATAATGATGCTTTGAGTAGAGACGCTCGGCTCATATCAGCTTTGCCTATGCTGTTGAAAAGAGGAATTAGCCAATTAGTCGACGGGGCGTAATAAGGTAAGATAGAGATGGTCTGATAAGGACACCAGGGCTTCAGGAAAGTATCCCACAGTGCTATGCACCCCTTGACATTAAAGGAGATTACATTTGGTGCCAAGTCATTAAGGTAAGGTGGCTTCAGGAAAAAAAAAAAAGCAAAAATATTACTTCAATTACAGAAAACAAACAAAATATAATGTGTGGTACACTAAAACGGCACTTGTTTGTCCCAAATGTGATGTTCAATATTCCACATAATAGGAATGCCTGCGCAATAATGTGGAATAAAACTGAAACTACTTGGACTCAATGGAAGTAGATGTCTTCACAATAATGCAGGAGTTAAACTGAAATTTCATATCAGGGGGATGATTGTTTTGACCCTGAATGATTGATTTTTTGTTGTTGACGCTAATCGAGTCTTGTTTATCTTGTTTATCTTGTTTATCTGCTGCACTGACTGCTGGAATATGGACGATAATGCAAAGGGTGAACAAATTAAGAGTACATAAATTAGCAATAAATAAATAAAAATAAATAACAAACAAATACGTTTGTATGGCTGAGGGGGGTAAGGACACTTAACTCATTGCATGCATCATCATTGTAGACATGATTTATATAGCAACTTTGTTCCAAAACAAAATGAATAAAATCATCTTCTTTTTTTCACAAATATAAATATATTTATGTATTGTATAATATATACAATAGTTTGTCACCATGAACACTGGCTTTTGGAGGAGGGATTAAAGAGCAGGTCAGTAAAACGTTTGCTATAAATACAGACACTTTTGCAAAGACAGCCATTACTGATTGGTTGTGCTGAAGCACTGGTTGGGCGGATGGCGCAGGTTGGGATTGGCTGGTGGAGTGGGCTTTATGAGTGGTTTCAGTGCATCAGTCCCGAGAGCCAGGGGATTCCCCTCCCTCCTCCATCTCCCACTGGAAATTCTGCCCTGTCATTTGGTAGAACATATTGTTAAAGGGCTTGTAAAACTTGTGTAGTCTGCGGATGACGTCCGGGTCTATTTTGGGGTGAGTTCTGCCCTTGGACTTGCCAAGGCACCGTGGAGTACTGCTGTCTTCAGGCTTCTTCAAGCAGGGGAACCCCTTGGTCTTGTTGAAGTAGAAGTGCTTGTCGGTGACGATGCGCTTGAGGCCCAGGAAGTCCTGCACCTTGGCCATCTCGCCGGCCGGGTCCACGATGAGCCGCTCGCCGCTCACAAAGTGCATCTGAGAGAGGGGAAAGTACTGCATCCAGTTCTCCAGGTGGAGCGCGTAGATGCCGATCCGCAGCGCGCTCCACGAGGCGTCGATCAGGCCCAGTGTCCGGTTCTTGAAGGCAAGAACCTCGAAGGTGGGGATCTCTGGCTTTTTGGACAGAGTCTGTGTATAGTCTGAAATGGCTCGGGTCACAGGGTTGCGGACGACTATGATCAGTTTGATGTCTTTAGCCATCGAGTGGATGCGCTTGGGGGCACTGTTCGTGACAAAGTAGCTGGGGGTTTTCTCCATCGTAATCTGGCCCTCCAGCGTCGAAGGCATCAAGTCCCTGAAAGGCCAAGCAGACAAGTGGAGAATTAGTATCAAACAAGGTTGGATGAATACATTGTACTATGTATAACACTGTATTCATTATTATCAGCTTTTTTTCATTGTGTCTCTCACATCATAAAAACAAAGACAGATTTTATTTGGACAGGATTAGATTTACATTTGGAGGGGGAGTCATGTGATTTTAGTCCCGTCCAAATCCACCATGTTAGTGATTTTTACAGCCTCCGCCTCAGATTCCAGGACCTTTTACTGGAGGTGGATAATGTAGATGCAAAGAGTAAACATCCAACTGTTCCAGCCACCTGGCTTCTCTAGTTTGCTCAAACCAGCAGCAAATGTGTTCAGGCAGTTGGAACAAAAGGGTTTTACTTTCTGGACCTGGATTACCCACCCCTGCTTTTTACCTGCTGTAAAAGGAACAGTAGAAATAACCCCATGGTACATTAATCCCATGTGAATTGCCATGTCAGTAAATATTCAGTTATGTCCTGTGGAAAAGGACATTTTGCACTTTTTCTTAAGTACACAGACAGTGGAACAAGCATTTTGCTGCTGACGGTAGAAAACCTAATATCTCCATTTTTGCTGTTTTTTCAGTTTTTGACATAATTTGAAATTGCCCTTTACATTGTGTGTAAATTTCATGAAGAATGGACCAAAATGACTTGGAAAAAAGTCTGGTTCCATTGACTTACATTAAAAGTAAAGTATGTTTTTTCCTTCTCCTGTAAAGTTGTCATTTCATTTTTTCTTCTGGCAACAGTGATTTACTTTACATTTCATTTACATTGCCAACATTTAGCAAATGGTCTAATCCAGAGCAAGTGCTATGCTTTCCACTCAGAGAATGTATCCAAGCTAGTTCAAACTGTTAGAGTCCAAACTACCCTTGAGCTAAGACACTGCCAAGATAGAACAATTTGTATTTTCTGTGGCCCAAATCAAGGCAATATGTTCACCAACTGAAAGTGTACCACTTTGAACATTAAAACACACGGAAAAAGTTTGATTCTGTGCAGCAATGTTGACTGTTTGTGGTAAATTAAAAGGATGCCACATTGCATTTGCTTACAACAGCTAAGTAGATGGTTAGGCTAATTAAAATTATGATTGAATTCAATGTTTGGACATGCATTCTACTTGTAAACATATGGTGCATACATCAAGTATCCACTCAGAATCCCAGAATGTGAATTGCTTATAAGCTCATAAACATCACAGATGAACTGTAATAAAACTTTCTCAAAGTTTTCTCAACCTCCTCTAATAAAACGAATCCCGTCTGATCAGTACTTAACATGGCAATATACATAGACAAAAGAAACATTGTAACACACGCTCGAAGGATGAGGGCACAAGCACAATTGGTACACTTATTAGGTGGTAAATTATTTGAAATTACAAATGAAAATAACTGTTATCATCACTGGACATTATGGTTGCAAGAAGGAACATACAGCTAATTACACCCACGGAGTAATATATGAAAAGATAAAAGAAAGAAGATGAAACGGCGAGCGAACAAGCATGCTCATTGCTTAATTGACTCCATCTGTGTTACTCCAGGAGCTGTTTTGGAACTTTAATAATGAGTTCACTGCATATCATTAATACTTCTGCGCCTGGGGGATTGTTTTGTCATACATCTATTCTGTGAGCTCGGCACCGCTCGTCTCTTTGCAGTCGCTCCCGAATCTTCTCAGACAAGCCTGTAGCCTCTCACTCTCTTCCCCGCTGTCCTCCCTTTAAGGTTAAGAGGGCTCTGTCGCAGGGGGAACGGTGATTAATTATGACATTCCCTCTGATCATTCTTACCCGAGGAGAAATGTCCCTGCTTTCAAAGATTTATCGGAGTGGATAGTGGGGAGCAATTTGCCACTGCTGCAAATATTGTGTTCAACTTTGTCCTCGGGACTGAGCTGAAAGATGAATCAATGCAGAGGCACAAGACATTCATAAGTTTAAAAAAGTGAACAGAAAAGAGAAGGAAACTAAGTTAAAAGAAGATTTCATCCTTTTTGCAGTAAACAGTGAGATCAAATCTACATTGAGGAAGTGAGAAACAAATTAATTTATGTCAAATTTAGTATTGTACTATAATTCATTCACACTCACTGGAATACTCTAAATGCAGCTTTGTGAGGGCAATAAATCAATACAGTGAAGTCATATTAAGGCTATTATATGTCAGTCCAACCAGTACAATGTTTTAGAACACAAAATTGTGTTATTACAGCATCAAAGCTCATTGTTGAGTTGAGTGTGCAAGTATTTCACCTAGTAAAGTTGCAGTTACTCAGTCAATCCCTCATCATCATCAGCTGCACTAGTAACTTGGGCCCGACTGATATATTGGTTATCCAATAGATGGTAATAATAACCATCACCAGAATTCTAACTCACAATTTCTTGCAATAGGGTGAGGACTTAGACCAAGAGTCTTTAAATCTGGACCCTGAATCCTGTTTCAGGTTTGGGATTTTGTAATAACTGGTAGTTAACAACACTGTTGATGTAACTCATTGGTCACCTAGTGTCATACAGTGATTACAAAATCCAGGACAGATGAGTAGATTCAAGGCCTTTAGCTTTGCTTAGCTTTATCACAGCAATAAAGGCTGAACTGGTAAATCACAAAACACAGAACACTTATATGGTTAGAATAACCAAACAAACAAAAAAAAAACAACATTTAAAATATATCCAAACTAAACCTTTAACATAACACCAAAAAAAGTTATTGGCTTCATTTGTTTTCTTCACCAAATAAAAAAAGAACACTAATGAAAAAAAGATAATTAACCCCTTAAAATCCAGGCTTATTACATACTAAGGCACATTATTCAGAAACTACAAACTGGCTCAGCTACTCTTAGGTTATAGAAGTGTGTAACAAAACTTTGGGCCAGTGGTGGGCCATTGCCATTTTAGGGGGTTAATAGAAACCAAAGCCACACAAAAATATTGGTAGCTCCACCCTCAGTGCTATTATTTATGTATATATTTGTCAAAATCTGCTCTTTATGTGAGTTTAAGAAGGGTGACATTAAGAACTGACAACCATATCGGTCAGCAAAACACTGTTAAATTAGAATTACAGAAGTATTCAATTAGCCCCTTAATACAGTATGCTGTATGCAATGCAGACTACACTGGTCACTCTAATGCAGGCTGGACCGGTCACAAATGCAGATTACACTATTGACTATAATGTAGACTGTAGATTGCACTAGTAACTATAATGAAGACCGTGCTGGTAACTAATGCAGACTGCACTGGTAACTCTAATGTAGAATGCACTGGTAACTAATTAAGACTGCACTGGTAACTAATGTAGACTGCACTCTAATGAGGACTGCACTGGTAACTCTAATGTGATCTGCACTGATAACTAATGTAGAATGCACTGGCAACTAATGAAGACTGCACTGGTAACTCTAATGAAGACTGCACTGGTAACTAATGTAGACTGCACTCTAATGAAGACTGCACTGGTAATTCTAATGCAATCTACACTGACAACTCTCATGCAGATTGCACTGGGAACTATTGTAGACTGCACTGGTAACCCTAATGTAGACTGTACTGGTAACTAATGTAGAATGCACTGGTAACTAATGTAGACTGCACTGGTAACTCTAATGTGATCTGCACTGATAGCTCTAATGCAGATTGCACTGGTAGCTAATGCTGACTGCACTGGTCACTAGTATAGATTGCACTAGTAACTATAATGCAGACTGCACTGATACCTCTAATGTAGACCGCATTGATAACTAATGAAGACTGTACTGGCAACTAATGAAGACTGCACTGGTAACTCTAATGCAGTCTACACTAATAACTCTATGGCAGACTGTACTGGTCACTAATATAGGTTGCATTGATAACTCTAATGCAGACTGTACTGGTAATTCTGGTGCAGACTGTACTGGTCACTAATGCAAATTGCGCTGATAACTATAATGCAGACTGCACTGATACCGCTAATGTAGACTTCACTGGTGACATAATGTTGACTAAAGTGGTCACTCTAATTCAAAATGCTTTCTGCCTCTTCCTTACAAGCTCAGACTTTAATTCAATTTCAATTTCAACACACCATAAAACAGCACATGCTATTACATCATATGGCTGTGTCTGCAATGAAATGTGGTTCAGATGGGAATTCTCAGATGTATGTGCAAACATTCAGTTCAAGCAGAGAACATCTCAGCATTGAGTTTGACTTCTGAAAGAAAAATGTTTGCCCTTCATAGATGGAAGCATTTGTAATAATTTGATGTTAGAGTGAAATAATGAAACAGCTACGCTGGGAAATCAGTGTCTTTATGATGTCTGTCTGAGGTTTATTTCAATTTGACAGCCGTCAGTATCGTGTCAAAACAGCAGCAACACAAGTAAATCAATCTTTTGTACGTCGGACACGTTCTAAATGGACTCCACTTCTGCCCACAATTGAGCTCTAAGTGTGGAACACATCAGATGCTATACACACACACATGCACACACATACACATACCTACCCCTCCCCAAGCCTCTCAGCACACACAGACACTCGCTCACAAGTGGCTTTGTAATTTCATTTCTGTAGCAACGTTGCACTCCTGATGGGTAATTTCCCAATGGATTATTCTTGGCTCTACATGGTATAGAGCTATGGCCACTTGGGCTGTAATGGGATATAAAACATATCTGCAGCTAGCATAGTGACTAGCAGCAGTATTAGTTTTCATTATGCTCCATCAGGGCCCCAACACTTCCTCAGCGTGGTAATGAATGGTTAAAGATTTTTTTCTCTCCTTTCAAGGTCTTCAGGAGTCAGCTATTTAAAGTCGGCGATAAAGAAGCGAAGATGGCCAGGACTGTATGTACTCGTTCTGTATGAGAATAGAAACACAGTGTGAGAAAACTTGATATCAAAACAACACGACAAATCACCTTGGAACAACCTATGTAAATCGCATCGAAAGCCACAGCCGCCATAAGCGAGAG